AACACAATCATAGAATCACATCACCCTTGGTCAAAAGTGTGCGTTTGAAGGTGCAATTCTTAACACAGTCATAGAATCACATCACCCTTGGACAAAAGTGTGGACTTGAAGGTGCGATTCTGAACGCAGTCATAGAACCACTTCACCCTGGGTCAAAAGAGTGTGCTTGAAGGTGCGATTATTAACGCAGTTATAGAACCATTTACCCTGGGTCAAAAGTGTGCGCTTGAAGGTGCGATTGTTAACGCAGTCATAGTACCATTTACCCTGTGTCAAAAGTGTGGGCTTTAAGGCTTTATTGTTAACTTAAACATAGAACCACTTCACCCTTGGTCAAAAGTGTGTGTTTGAAAGTGCGATTATTAACACAATCATAGAACCACTTCAACCTTGGTCAAAAGTGTGCGTTTGAGGGTGCGATTCTTAACACAATCATAGAATCACATCACCCTTGGTCAAAAGTGTGGGCTTGAAGGTGCGATTATTAACACAATCATAGAATCACATCACCCTTGGTCAAAAGTGTGCGTTTGAAGGTGCGATTATTAACACAATCATAGAATCACATCACCCTTGGTCAAAAGTGGTGGCTTGAAGGTGCGATTATTAACACAATCATAGAATCACTTACCCTGGGTCAAATGTGTGGGCTTGAAGGCTTTATTGTTAACATAAACATAGAACCACTTCACCCTTGGTCAAAAGTGTGTGCTTCAAGGTGCGATTATTAACGCAGTCATAGAACCACTTTACCCTGGGTCAAAAGTGTGGGCTTGAAGGTGCGATTATTGACCTAAACAAGAATAACTTCACCATGGTTCAAAAGTATGCGCTTGAAGGTGCGATTATTACCATAAACAAAAACCACTTCATCCTTGTTGAAAAGTGTGCGCTTAAACGTGAGCTTATTGACATAAACAAGAACAACTTCACCCTGGGTCAAAAGTGTGCGTTTGAAGGTGCGATTGTTAATACAAACATGAAGCACTTCACCCTCGGCCAAAAGCGTGGGCTTAAAGGTGCGATTATTAACACAATCATAGAACCACTTCACCCTGCGTCAAAAGTGTGGGCTTGAAGGTGCGTTTATTAACATAAACAAGAATCACTTCACCGTGGGTCAAAAGTATGCGCTTGAAGGTGCGATTATTAACATAAACAAGAACCACTTCACCCTTAGTGAAAAGTGTGCGCTTAAAACAGCGATTATCAACACATTCATGGAACCACTTACCCTTGGTCAAAAGTATGCGCTTGAAGGTGCGATTATTGACATAAACAAGAACCACTTCACCCTTGGACAAAAGTGTGCGCTTGAAGGTGTGATTATTAACACAATCATAGAACCACTTCACCCTTGGTCAAAAGTGTGTTTGAAGGTGCAATAATTAACGCAGTCATAGAACCACTTGACCCTTGGTCAAGAGTGTGCGTTTGAAAGTGCGATTCTTAACACAATCATAGAATCACATCACCCTTGGTCAAAAGTGTGCGTTTGAAGGTGCAATTCTTAACACAATCATAGAATCACATCACCCTTGGACAAAAGTGTGGACTTGAAGGTGCGATTATTAACGCAGTCATAGAACCATTTACCCTGGGTCAAAAGTGTGCGCTTGAAGGTGCGATTGTTAACGCAGTCATTGTACCATTTACCCTGTGTCAAAAGTGTGGGCTTGAAGGCTTTATTGTTAACTTAAACATAGAACCACTTCACCCTTGGTCAAAAGTGTGTGTTTGAAAGTGCGATTATTAACACAATCATAGAACCACTTCACCCTTGGTCAAAAGTGTGCGTTTGAGGTTGCGATTCTTAACACAATCATAGAATCACATCACCCTTGGTCAAAAGTGTGGGCTTGAAGGTGCGATTATTAACACAATCATAGAATCACATCACCCTTGGTCAAAAGTGTGCGTTTGAAGGTGCGATTATTAACACAATCATAGAATCACATCACCCTTGGTCAAAAGTGTGCGCTTGAAGGTGCGATTATTAACACAATCATAGAATCACTTACCCTGGGTCAAATGTGTGGGCTTGAAGGCTTTATTGTTAACATAAACACAGAACCACTTCACCTTGGTCAAAAGTGTGTGCTTCAAGGTGCGATTATTAACGCAGTCATAGAACCACTTTACCCTGGGTCAAAAGTGTGGGCTTGAAGGTGCGATTATTGACCTAAACAAGAATCACTTCACCATGGCTCAAAAGTATGCGCTTGAAGGTGCGATTATTACCATAAACAAAAACCACTTCATCCTTGTTGAAAAGTGTGCGCTTAAACGTGAGCTTATTGACATAAACAAGAACAACTTCACCCTGGGTCAAAAGTGTGCGTTTGAAGGTGCGATTGTTAATACAAACATGAAGCACTTCACCCTCGGCCAAAAGCGTGGGCTTAAAGGTGCGATTATTAACACAATCATAGAACCACTTCACCCTGCGTCAAAAGTGTGCGCTTGAAGGTGCGATTATTAAAGCAGTCATAGAACCACTTTACCCTGGGTCAAAAGTGTGGGCTTGAAGGTGCGTTTATTAACATAAACAAGAATCACTTCACCGTGGGTCAAAAGTATGCGCTTGAAGGTGCGATTATTAACATAAACAAGAACCACTTCACCCTTAGTGAAAAGTGTGCGCTTAAAACAGCGATTATCAACACATTCATGGAACCACTTACCCTTGGTCAAAAGTGTGCGCTTGAAGGTGCGATTATTGACATAAACAAGAACCACTTCACCCTTGGTCAAAAGTGTGCGCTTGAAGGTGTGATTATTAACACAATCATAGAACCACTTCATCCTGGGTCAAAAGTATGCGCTTGTAGGTGCGATTATTAACATAAACATAAAACCACTTACCCTTGGTCAAAAGTGTGCGCTTGAAGGTGCGATTATTGACATAAACAAGAACCACTTCACCCTTGGTCAAAAGTGTTCGCTTGAAGGTGAGATTATTGACATAAACAAGAACCACTTCACCCTTGGTCAAAAGTGTGCGTTTGAAGGTGCGATTGTTAACATAAACATAAAACCATTTACCCTGGGTCAAAAGTGTGCGCTTGAAGGTGCGAATATTAACACAATCATAGAACCACTTCACCCTGTGTCAAAAGTGTGGGTTTGAAGGTGCGATTATTAACACAATCAAAGAACCACTTCACACTAGGGTCAAAAGTGTGCGCTTGAAGGTGTGATTATTATTAAATTCATCATATTGCTGATAAATGCAGGGATTAAAAAGAAAATAGAAAAACGAGCTGATTGTAAACTCTAGGAATTCGGGGAAACCCTGGAAAATAGGTCCAGCAAACGTTCACACGATCAATTTCACCAAAACAATTTCAAATCGTGTGAACTTGTGTCCGTTCATGTGTGTGAACCCCAAATATCCGATCACGTGACTACCCATCAGCATACAAGAAACAGTGTAAACTTTAAAGTATGAAATTATCACGAATTTGACGTCGTTCACTTTGGGAAATGAAAAACTCTGAAAGCAAACTTGCCACTAAGAATTTTGCGGTGTTTGTCTTTTCTTCCATCCTTTTCTAGTCATCTTCATAAGAATTGCTAATGTCTGCATAACTGCTTGTTGCCCTATTTTGGTGGAACTGTGGCTTGAGGAGGGTGGGAGGAAAAGTTTTGACTGTGTCGGCGATGTCGTTGCAGGTGGTTTTGAGGCATGTGGTGGCGTCTGCATTTCTCAAGGTAGTCCCAGATTTGGTGTTAACAATTGCAGCCTACTTTCATCAAGGTGTCCTTATAGTCCTTGCAGTTAGTCTCATCAGGTTAATTCCGTTACCTCTATACCGAATAACGCTTGCCGGACCATGGCTTTCCAAAGTCAAAACACGGTAATTTGGCTAAGAAGCTATACTTAAGCTTCAGGTATATCGATGATCTGATATCGTTCAAAAACAATCAAATAGCCAATTCCCTTCCACTGATTTCCCCACCTGAACTAGAAATAAAAGAGAACAGTGAGATCGCTTCAGCTGTTTCATATTTAGATCTATGCATAAAGAGTCAGAGTGACAAAACACTCTTCCACGAGACGGTATGACAAGAGGGATGACTTCATTTTTCCAGGAGTCAACTTTCCCTTTATGTCGAGCAATGATCCAGCAGCTCCAGCCTTTGGTGTTTACATTTCGCAACTTTTGAGATACAATCGAGCATGCTTTTCTACCAAGATTTCAAAGAGCGTTACATGACTCTTGCTCAAAAGTTGTTTGATCAAGGATGCAACATTGAAGTCCTCAGTAAAAAGCTTTATGGTAGACATGTGGAGGACATTTCCAAATTTGACGCATCCGTGATAAAAAATGATGTCCGATTCAATTCCCTATTTTTACTTGTACCATATGTTCCCGTGTTTTTTTTAGGTGAATAATTGACTTGCCTTTGCATGTGTTCGTGACGGGTGCTACTGGTGGGGCAGGATACGTCACCTTTTCTTGAACACCTGGTCATGATATAGTCGGAATCATACAATCGACTCTTCATTATGCACACATTTCTATTGGATATGGAAAGGTTTTATTTAAACTGATATTACAATTAGCATTTCTTTTGCATTCATTTAAAACATAGTACATCTGCAACTGATAAATCAAATAAAGAACGAATATTACATGACGTACAACATAATGTATGCATCTAATAAAACTTTGGAAAATCATATTTGTTCAGGCTGTGTTGGCTTACCATCGTAAATGTGTAACTGAACTGAAAGCTGATCCACATAAATATATAAGGTCAACGCCAGAGAAAAACCAGTCTCGACTATCCAACGGAACTGATTCCTTTGAGTGTAAACGGCATAATAGCGGTGAAAATTACATGAAGGCATCAATGAAAATCATTGATGACACATGAAGTAATGACCTTCACTGGGTTCTTTATTTCACAGGTGATACAAACAGGTTATGTCGCATTCAGCGACAGTGTGTTGTTATCTGGTTTGTAATATTCAGTTTTGTTCTTCAGTTTCTAGTCTGAACACGACCTTAAGATGACAGTCAACATCCCCGGGCTAATCTCCGTCATCATCTTCTACATCATCATCCTCGTCGTCGGCGTTGTCGCTGGGAGAAAGAAAAGATCAAAGACAGTCGTTGGGATCATATTAGCTGATCGAAACATGGGTATTGTCATGTCCTTGTTTACGATAACAGGTAAAAACAATTATGCTTATTATTACGATCATCATCATCATCATCATCATCATCGAAACATCAACAAAATGCAACTGGTGACTGCACAGTCCTTTTTCTATGTTATGTATTGGGAATGAGGGTTGGAAATTATATATTCCAAAAAGCAACATTGAGATGACAATAAGATGCAAAAGTCATACTTAATTTTCAATTCAATGTAACAAACTATATTGAAATCATTAGTATTATCATTAATCAGACGAAGGGGCGGTCGGGTAGCCTAGTGGTTAAAGCGTTAGCTCGTCCCGACGAAGACCCGGGTTCGATTCCCGACATGGCTACAATGTGTGAAGCCTTTTGTTGTGTCCCCCGCCGTGATATTGCTGGAATATTGCTAAAAGCGGCGTAAAACCATACTCACTCACTCACTCACTTAATCAGACGAAAGAGAAAAAATGTTTGATAGGCATTACTTAGAAGTTGACGGATGACAAAGAAGACACAATTTATTGAAAACATTGAATGCTTGACAACGGTATGAGGATCTATACCGAAACGTCGCCTTTACAGTATTAAAGAATTCTTATCCATAAATTGTGCGTAGTTTGTCAAAAGAGAAAAAAACCACATTATACACACTTTGTTTTGTGTTTCACATTCGTTTCTGACGTGTTTCTGAAAATAACAAGATGATAGAGATAGCAGTATACACCCACAACATAGGTATAGCTTTTACAGCAGTATGTTTTCTGGAGGATCTCTGGTTGCACGGGTGGCCCAGTCGTCTAAGGCGCCGCAGTTCGCTGTGCAGAGTTCAAAATCACTATCCTTGGTTCTACGATATGTATTGACAAGGTAATTATGGAGACTGAGATATTTTATATTTACAAAGAGCTCTCATTAGGGTTTTATTTTGTTATATGCTTAAATATTTTTCTGGTTGTAACAATGATTTAAAACTAGCACAATACTTGAGGAAGTGTGAAGAGGAAACTTGTTGGTGACAGTTTTGCTGAAATATGTCTAATAATCTTAGTTTAAAGTTATGTAAAATTGTTTTTCATTACCTGTGTCTTGTGAGATCCATGCAAAGGAAAATCCAGTATTAAATAATATGCTTCTTAGACCAGACACCCAATCGTTTTCCCTTCACCATCTAATTACTTTAGCATTTTGTAACATTCAAATGGGTACATGTGAGCTTCCATTATTAATAATGTTATACAATATTTAAAAACACGCAGCTGGCTATGTACATATATATTACAGCGGCCAGTTTCACCAAGTACTGCCTTTTTTTAAGCATATTTACCAATGCATAAAAACTGCTTAAAATACAAAGTGTGAACTTTCTCTCAATGGATTCAAAATATTTAATGCCCTTTATTTCCGAGCCGTACAACAAAATAGGTAGAATTTTACCATCAAATATCGAGTTTGCTGTGGAAAATGATATATATTTGTTTTCCTTCAATAATTATTAAACAGGAAACATTGCCGAAGATGCCTGTAGCGCTAAGGTCTTACAAACATTGGACCAATTTAATGTTGAGGACATTAATAGTTCTAAATACTTGTAATAACTTGCAATTTTTAAATGTTTATCACCATATACAATTTTCATGCTTCGATACAATTCCACCATTTCTAAAAACAATAACATTGGTTTTTTAAGGTTTAAACCCCTCTTAACCCTCTTGGTGCCACGGGACCATATATGGTCCCTCACTTTTCACATCCGCATAGTGCCAAGGGACCATATATGGTCCCGAGAAAATGCCCTTTTTAAACCGTGAATTTAGATATCAAACACTTAGTGCACAAAGTCAAAATTATAACCATCACAATCCCAATCATCTTAGCTTTAGCATCGTGCAACTCATTCTTTATACAATGCTACGGATTACGAAATATTGAGAGATTAGTAAAGTGGCTACCGCGCTTCTCGGCCTTTCTCTGCCATGTTTGAACACCGAGCGAATGACGGCGAATTTTGATTATGCACCAATGTCACATACACGTAAATATTTTCAGACAAAATCCTTGTTCATAAGAAATAATGTGACCAGTGTGGTCAGAAAGACATGTTTCTCATAACTGTATACTTATTCACGTAAATAGATTTCTGTTCACTCCTTTGCGAACAAGTTTATTTATACGTTTTGTATATTTTTATCGACTGTCGTTAATGGCGGAATGGTCGGTACACATGAGAAAACGACAGTCTATATTTCCATTACAATTATGACGTTCATTGAATGAATTTATAACCACCATCACCCTAATCATCTCAACGTTAATATCGTGTAACTCATATTTTATGCAGTGCTACGGATTGCGAAATATGGCGAGATTAGTAAAGTGGTTACCGCGCTTCTCGATCTTTTTCTGCCATGTTGAACTTCATGCGAATGAAGGCAATTTTTTATTATGCACCCAGGTTGCATACACGTACCTATTATTATATCAGACAGCCAATTTGAAAAAGAAATCTGATCGGACTGGTCAGAAAGCTTTACTTGTCCCCACTGTACAGTTATTGGCGTAAGAGTACTAACGTTTCGTCGGCCACGGAATTTTTTTGTTCAAGTATTGCATGTTTATCGACTGTGTGTCATGACGATTTAGCACGGCGCTACAGACGAAACGACAGTGCAGATTGTCTTTTTGTTTATGATGCTGATTTACAGAAAACATTCAAATCAAAGATATGGAAAGATAGCTATAATCGTTAATATTAAGGTGGCATAGTGTATGTTTATGGGCAGGAAGTTCATGATTTAAACCTAAACATTGAATAGCCAAGCCCGAAGTGATCGACAGGGCACGTTGGCATATCTGTGCCGCGATTTCTTGTCTACCGGTTGTCCTACATGCTCGCCCGTTCAGACAAATAACTGCTACTTTTTTTCATATGAAATGACAAAGAGTCATGTGTGATTTCTTAAACTACCTGCCCGTGTGTGTGACTTGCCCTGACTGTTTCACATTTTGTCGCAAATGGAGATTTCAAAAGTGTGGCCACGACATCTAACGTGAGTCGACGCCATATTGTAAACAAATTGTGTCAAGGTCGGTTCCACATGTGGCAGCTCGGCCCCCGTTTCTGTCGATGGTACACTCGATACAAACATAATGCAACTACTGAATACATTAACATAACTTCTACAATGTTGACAGCAATACCTTTTTGTATTTGGGTTAACCGCTTATGGATACGCTGTGGCTGTTAAGTTCGATTTCGATTAGTTTTTCCTTTCTTTGAAACTGTGATAATGGCGCTGTAATTGGTTTGCTGAAATAGTATTTTCCGTGAGTCTCATGTACATGATACATGCTGTGATTGTACAAGATAATTGATAACGAATTGTGTAAGCATATATATCATCAAATAAACATTACTAATCTCTTCAGAAAATGGAATATATTATTATCAGCTCGTATTTCCAACATTCTGCCATGGATATTAGATCTAATATTAATATTAGATTTACAAATTATTGATGTACACTGTACTCTCGATTAACGTATGATAATCTATTGGAAGTCTTCAACTTTTATTTGATATGTCATCTGAAATGTCAGCAATGAGTAAACTTAATTTTATTTCGTTACAATCTGCAATTTTATTCGAATAGGCTTATATATATAGACGGTCGGTGATTTCCCGCCGCTGTGAATTTGTCGTTTGGACAGGTGCGCGTGATTTGACCTCGCGTGTTGTGACGTGGATGACGTCACATGAAACAGCTGATCTAATGTTGTGGTAGTATAATGGATACACGTGGTTTCATTTTCCATATAACAATATTCTCTTTGACTGAACTAGAAAGCATATCTAGTACATCACGATTGGAAAATGTTTACGGCGACCGACGAGTGAATGAGACCGCTTATCATTTGACTAACAGTGTTAGAATATTTGGCGCAGTTTTCTAATTTTGGTATGTTGACATGTGCTTTTCATATCTGTTTGAAGGCTTGATATTCCAAAAAAAATAATGTGCATTTAATTGAGTAAGGGAATGTATTTTTTACAGTGAGAAAGCTGTCAAAATGGATCCAATATTAAACAACCTAGATTTTTAATATTTTAGCTTAATCTATTAGAATCTCGAATGGTTCAATTTATAACATCAACGTACAGTAAAATCAATTAGATCTACTCACAATATATAGATAATCGAATTCTGAAAGACAAAATGTTTTCAGTGTAAATGTGATTTCGTTCTGATGTTTTATATAGTTTTATTTATGTCTTTTTTCACTCTGCATTATCTAAATTACCAAATACTTCGATCAGTGACATAGTAGTAATTACTTTGTTTTGTATCCTTAGTATGGAATAGATTTTCTTTAAATAAATATTTGTCTAAGAGCAAAATCAAAGCATTCTTGTGGTTCTTTTTTCACCTTTTCAATTTGTATATCTTCCCTCCAAGCTGTAGTTTAGCTAGGCCAAAATTAAGAAAAAAGGAAAGAAATACTAACTGACAACCATTTATATTGAAGATTTTGCTGGTTAAATACTAAGAATATATTTTTCCTTTTATGACAAATAATTCCATTACTTTCATTGACCTACGACCATTAATTATTTAAAACTTTTCCTTTAGTAGAATATGGGATGGAATGGAACTAGTGGAAAAAACTATCACGTATGTCCTTAAATGTACATGTACATACCTAGCTAGGTGTAAATACACTTCTAAAGTCGTATTTTCAATCAATATGAAAGAAAAAGTGGTATTTCATGGACTGGCCATACAAGTATATTTTGAGCAAAGGTCTAAGTAAGGCAGCCAAGTGCGAAATACTAGCTGAGACGAGGTGGAAGTGTTCTGGTGGTCATAGTGAAACAATGACAATTGGCGCCCGAGTTGCGAGTGATCGAAAATAGGTTTGTTGAATAGATTTGCTGCCAATGAAAACTTTTCAACAATTTTGATTGAATCTACATGTACTTAGTTTTGGGTGGTATAACGTTAGTATAATCTTGTTAATTATTAAGAAATGAT